CTAAACCCACCATGTTTACCTCACAGTTGGTCAAGTTTCTAGGAGCAGAATTCACAGGTATGCAGAACTGTTTATGGTGGGATGATACGCTGATGTAACGATGTCACATTTGTCCTGTCTTGTTAGACTTTGGGTTGTCCCTGTCTCTTGTCTACTGAGAGTGGTACAGGTATGAGCAATTACATGCATGTGTTTATGAGAGTGGCTGTTGTCAGTTCTTCTAGATATATCATTTAAGATAATTCTATATTTGAGACTATACAAAAACTTCTCACTATCCTCAATGACAATTATTATTTTCTCTGCTTCTTTTTCTTTTCTTTTCTGGCCTCAAACTCACTGTGTAGTTGAGGATGACCTTGAACTTCGGTTCCTCCTGCCTCGCCTCTATTTCCTAACTGCTTGGATGACAGGTATACAAGGCCATGTCTGGTTAAGAATCTCAGTATATTTTGCTTTTGTAGATAGTTTCTATTATGAATCTTGTGTCTAATATGTGTTCAATTAGACAATGCGTTTCATTTGTAGAAGTTAGATTTCAGCCTTTCTTTCAGTTTTGCTTGGCCTGTATGCTTGTTTTTGAGACAAGGTCTCCTGTAGTTGAGCTTGACCTTGAACTCCCTGGCCCTCTCACCTCCACCTCTGGAATACTGAGATCACAGGCGGGTACCACTACATGTGTGTTGTGTGATGTGATGAGAATCAGGCCCCAGCTTTCTGCTTCCTAGACAAGAACCCAACTGACTGACCTACGGTTTCGGCTGTGTGCCGTTCTCCTTGGAGCTTGCTTTTAAGTTCTGTCAGTGGAAGCCAAGTCACCTTTGGTCTGGAGCTAATCTGGCTGCACTGCAGCCTGTGTCTGTGGGAGTTCCAGCACTCTGGCTGCTAGGAATGTGAGCTATTCCCAGCCATGCTTTTCCATAGCTCATTATCTGGACTTCAGTTTCTGTACAACACATGTGCTGATGAGGGCACAGTGACTATCCAAGAGAAGGCTCAGGAGTGACTAGGAATCTCCCTCTCCTTCCCTCTCCTCCTCTTCTCCTTGTCCTTCTTCCTCGTCTTCATCTTCCCCCTCCTCTTCCTCTCTTTCTCCTCCTCTGTTCCCCTCTTCCTTCTCCTTTTCCTTTCCTCCCCCCCCCCCGTGTATCTCTCTCTTGCCTTCCTCCTTTACTTCCTCCTGATGTTTTCCCTCTTCCTACACCTTGCTCTGTAAACTCAAACTGTCTCAGCTTCCAAGACTCAACTCTTGAGACTCGGGTGGGACCCACACAGATTCTGTGTCTCCTTATACATATGGCAGATTGGAAACTGTCTACAGACAGTAAGTTACAGCAATGTTAGAGTTAACAAGCACAGGGACCTAAATTCAACCCCCCTAGTCAGGTATAGTGACAGAAGATTGTGGTCCGAGCCCTAGGTCACAGAGGATCCCTGGAACTTCCTGCCAGCTTAGCATAATCAATAATCTACAGGCCAGTGAAAGACTCTATCTCAAAAACAAGGTGCATGGCACCCAAGGGACAACACCTGAGCTTGACCTCTGGTAAGAATGCTCAAGCACACATGCACACACACACACACACACACACACACCCCTATACATGAATGCCTGTGCACACACAGGATAATATGTGCACAAGCATAGAAGAGAATAAAAGGCCGTTGACTGGGCAAGGGCCCTGATCATATTTCCTATGCACCAGAAGCAGCTGGTCAAATAATGACGATGATATGGTCCCTGAAAACTGAGCTAGTGGTATCTGGGAGACCACACCTGCAAGGCTGGACCTTTCTCTTGCTGATGAGGATGTGTGATCCGTTGACTAACATTCCCAGCCAAGATAGAAATGGAGTAACAAAGGTCTGGGAAGCGCTCATCATTACTATTCTCTGTGTGTGTGTGTGTGTGTGTGTGTGTGTGTGTGTGTGTGTGTGAGAGAGAGAGAGAGAGAGAGAGAGAGAGAGAGAGAGAGAGAGAGAGAGAATGTGTGTTAAGGCCTCAGGAGCCATCCAACCCTTTTTAAAAGTCTTTTTATTTTTAGGTATATTTATTTTATGTGTGGGTATTATGGCTGCATGCATATCTGTATACCACATCCATGCCTAGGGCCCTCAGAGGTCAGAGGAAGGCATAAGATCCCCAGGAGTGAATGGTTGTAAACTACCATGTAGGTTCTGGGAAGCAAACTCAACTATACAGCAAGAGTAACCAGTGCTTTCAACTGTTGAGCGGCATCTTCAGCCCTTTTGTTTTATTATTATTAACCACCTTGATTTTTGTTTATTTGTTTTGGTTTAGGTATTGTTTGTCTGTTTGATACAGAGCATCTCTATGTTGCCCTGGATGTCCTGGAACTTGCTATGTAGACCAGGCAGACCACAGACTCACAGAGATTCACCTGCCTCTGCCTCCAGAGTGCTGGGATTAAAGACATGAATCAGTGCAACAAGCTCTACCTATCTTGTTTTCTGGCACAAGGTCCCTCAGTTGGATCTGGGGTTCTTTGATTGGTTGGTAGTTGGTTGGTACCTACAGATGTACCTGTCTCCACCTTCCCAGAGTTGGGATTACCAGCTTGTACCATTATGCCCAGCTTTTTCAGATTGATTCTAGGAATCCCATTCATGTCTTCCTGCTTGCCTGACTTAGTATTAACCTAGGCCACCACTATTGTTCCCTTCACCCCCAATTATTGGTGTGTGTGTGTGTGTGTGTGTGTGTGTGTGTGTGTGTGTGTGACATGTGAGCCAGTGCCCTGAGGACAGAAAGATGGATCTCTTGGAGCTTGGAGCTCTGGAGGAGCAGTAAATGTTCCTATTTGCTGAGCCACCCCTCCAGCCCTGAAAAACATTTGCTTCCCACCCTCCAAATCACCAGGTTCTGACTTAACTCCACAAGGGCAAAGGGCTCCTACTAGGGAAGCAACCAAGGCTTCCAGCCAGTCACCAAGGCAAGAACAGAAGAGGGTGTCCCGGGCTGCCTGTGCTCTTGCTGATTGTGAGGGGGAAATAGGGTTGTTACTCCCTGATATGGCCTGGGTGGAGTAGTCAGAAGGAGGAAGCACCCGTTGGGTTGCTCTTGCAGACCACACCCTGTAGAAAAAAAAAAACTGACTGAAAGCTATCAGAGTCCAGTGGTCATCTTTATTTTCATTTGCTATCAGTGGTAGGTAAGTATACTGGTTTGTTTAACATTCCAAGAGGTGAAGAAAGAAATTGTTGACTAAAGAGAAGCTAAGAAAGGGATGGACATCACAGGCAAAATGCTGAACTTGAGAAAGTACAGAAGGCTTTCTTTTTTTTTTTTTTTTCCTTTGAGACGGGGTCTCACTATGTAGCCCTGGATGGCCTGAAACTCACTACATAGACCATGCACAATCACATCAGGAAGCAGTGTTAAAATGGACAAAGATGTTCCCCCTGCATATCCCGATGGGACTTAGTGAGTATCACCTCCTTTCAGGGATGAAGTGTATTTGTGGCTATGATAATTGGAGAGGTGACAGAGTAAATTGTCTACTCTCTCTTACATCTGGACTTCTTTTCTTTTCTTTTCTTTTTTTTTTTTAGATATAAAGCTGTTGGCCTGTTACCAGTGTTTCTTATTGGCTAGCTCTGTCTTAAGTATTAATCCATTTCTACATCTGGACTTACGTTTTTTCTTCCAACACTTCACTATGGAAGTGTGTGTGTGTGTGTGTGTGTGTGTGTGTGATCATGTATACAAGTATTTGAAACCAGAGATCAACACCAGCTCCTCAATCATTTTTCACCTTTTTTTGGAGCTCACTAATTTGGCTAGACTGGTTGGCCATCAAGTCCCAGGGATCCTCCTGTCTCTGCCTCCTCAGCTCTAGGATTACAGGTGCAACATGTGTTCTGGGGATCGAACTCAGGTCCTCAAGCTTGCATGGCCAAACTTCACTGGCAGAGCTATCTCCCCAGTCCTGTACTTTCTAGTCTTCATCCTAAGCAACTTTATCTACATAACTCCTGTGTACTGGTGACTCCTAAACTTGTCTCTCTGGCTCTGGCCACTGAAGATGACCTTGAGCCTCTAAAACTCCTGCCTCCACTTACCAAATGCTGGAATTACAGACCTGTGCTACCACTCTGGGCTGTATGCAGTATTGGGGATTGAACCCAGAGCTCAGTGCATGCCAGGCAAGCACTCTCCTAACTGAGATATATCCCTGGCTCCAGAGCAGAGTTTTTAAAATCAAGACTCAGATTCAAATTCTGACAGAGCCACAAACCAGTTTGTGATACACTTCAACATCTTTTTTTGAATAGTCTTTACATAATTTTTTCCTTGTGTGTGTATGCCTCTCTCTCTCTCTCTCTCTCTCTCTCTCTCTCTCTCTGTGTGTGTGTGTGTGTGTGTGTGTGTGTACACACTCATGGAGATCATAAGATAGCTTACAGGGGTCGCTTTTCTTACAGGAGTGAGCTCAGGGATGAAGTTGTAAGGGTTGTTGGCAAATGCCTTCATCCCTTAAGCTATCTTCGGCATCCCACCTCAAGCTTTTAACTTTATAGTGGGGGCTCTACCTACCACATGGTAAATAAAACATCTTTTATAGAGCATTCCCCCTTCTCTGTCTTTCCCTTTCTCCTTCAGCTCCTCCTAGGTCCTCGTCTTTTTTGCTTTGCTTGTCTCTTGCTCAGTCTGGAACAAGCCTTTGAAATTTGGCGGGAATTAGTTCCAGTCTGGAGGATGAGCACCGCGCACGCGCAAAACACCTCCTTCCTCTCGCACGCTAATTTTGCTACCTTAACAACCAATAAGAGTCAGTATAGGAAGCCGTGGCGAGAGGGGGCGGGGACAAGGGGGAGGGTACGCACAGTACTTGCACAGTGGGGGTCTCTGTGAACCAATGGAAGAGGCAGGAGGCCCGGTGACAGTGGGGCGTGGCTCTGGAGGCACCAGCAACCGGAGGCCGTCCCGAATTAGGCCAATCAGAGCGAGGAGGTGGGAGGGGACTAGCCAATCAGCGTGCAAAACAAGACGAGGAAGGGGGCGGCGGAGTCTCTTGCGGTCGAGGCTGCAGGAGCTGGTGTCAGGGTTCCCAGGCGTGCGAAGGCGGCGGAGGCGGGAAAGGAGCGAGCGGTTAAAGGGAGCGACCGCTGACTTGCAGAGGAGCTCGGAGGAAAGATGGTGATGGCGGCTAAGAAGGGCCCGGGCCCAGGTGGCGGGGTCGGAGGGAGCAAAGCGGAGGCTGAAGCGGCTTCGGAGGTGTGGTGCCGCCGAGTGCGGGAGCTGGGCGGCTGCAGCCAGGCCGGGAACCGCCACTGTTTCGAGTGTGCCCAGCGCGGGGTCACCTATGTGGACATCACCGTGGGCAGCTTCGTCTGCACCACCTGCTCCGGCCTCCTGTGAGTGGATCCGGGGAAAAGTGGTTTTGGGATGATGGGAATCCGCAGGAGCTCGGAGCGACCCGGGAGGCCGGGGGCGGGGGGTGGAACCCCGGTATTGGACTTGGTGATAGAAGGTCGCCTGCTGCAGAGATCTGTCGTGGGGGAAAGGGAAACCGCGCAGGGGGACGGAAGGCGCAGCTGGAGTCGCGTTGCGGAGGTTAGGATGGGGGCTGTAGAAGGACACGAGTAGAGGATTGGGGAAACTCCCTGAGGGAGGTGAAGGCGAATTGCAGGTGGGGAGAGTGAAAGTGTGGAGAATTGAAAGGAACTGGGTGGGGTGGGGGAGGGACTTAAAGGGCCAGAAATTGACATAGACCTTTAAAGGAAACTTTAGCTGGGGATGCATTGTATCTCAGTTGGCAGAGTGCTTGCCTAGCATGCTCCGAGCTCCGAGTTTCCATCCACAGCACTGTATAATACCGAGTACTGTGGTACTCGCCTGCAATCCCAGCACCGAGGGGCCTGTGTTCAAGGCCAACTAGGGATACTTGATACTCTCTCCCCTCCACTAAAAAAAGAGGTGGGGGGGGGGGAGGAAAAGAAGTAGGGAAGTCGGGCTTAAGCTAAAAGTGTCCTCCTGTTCGTTCTGGTTTGTGTCTTCAGTAGTACGACGTAGAAGGAGATGGAAAACACTACGTGCTTTAGCCCAGGTTGACAGCTTAAAGTAGCAGGTACGAAGCCAGGGATCAGGTGCAGAGCCTAATCTTTCAGAGCTCTGGAATGCGAGCTAGAGGGTAGATGACTTATGGAATCTAATAAGGGCAGAGAGCCAAAGTGTTATCCTGGCGGACAGCTCAACTTTCCCGAAGAGATAGGGAGCAGAATGGGATAGTCTTTTATTTTTCCTTTCTCTACACCCCCTCTAAAGTTACATTTTATTTGTTTATTTTGTAGACAGCTCAACTTTCCCGAAGAGATAGGGAGCAGAATGGGACATTCTTTTATTTTCCCTTTCTCTACACCCCATGGAACCATTAGGTTCCATGGTTCGTGTGGGGATCAGAAGACAACTTGTAGGAATCAGCAATTTCCTTCTAGTATTTGGGTCCTGGGGCTGGAACTCAGGTCCATAGGCACAGCTACAAGCTCCCATGCTTGCTGAGCCAGCTCAGTAGTATTGTTTTTTTAATTAGATTGAGTCCCATACAGTCCAGGCTGACCTTTCTTGTTTGTTTGACACACACACACACACACACACACACACACACACACACACACACACAAGGTTTTTCTGTGTGTGTTGCGGTGGCTGCCTTGGAACTCATTCTGTAGACCAGACTGGCCTCAAACTCCTGGCAGAGATCATCCTGCCTTTGCCTCCTGAATACTGGGTGGGATTCAAGGTGTCTATCACCATGAAGCCCAGGCTGACCTTTAATTCACTGTGTAGCTGAGGCTAGCTTTGGAACCCCTGATCCTCCTGCCTCTACCTCCCAGGGGCTGGGATTACAGGCACACACTGTCATCCTCAGCTGGGGTCATTCTTAAGTACAGTAAGCCTCATAATTTGGGGAACAGTGGCTTGGTTGTAATATCTACAATGCTACTCCAGCACGGACACTGTTTATTCATGCCCTGTGACTTGTGGTAACATCACTCGATCAGATTTCGTATATGGTAAGCTCCCCCTCCTTAGGGAATTGTTTGATTAGCATCAGGTACCAGATCTTTGGGTTTATAGGGACTTATCTTCCCTGGTTTTTTAGTACAGTGCTTTTTTTTTTTCAATAAGTTCTCTTATTCTTATATGCATAGCAGCCTTAAAAAAAAATAACAGGGAGTATTGTTCTTATGTGACAGATGGGAGATCAAAAGCAGAAAGAGGTTTAGTAATTTACCCAGTGCCATATGGAGGATCCTGTTTCCAGTGTTTGTTATTTAGTATGAGTTATGAGACCAGAAATGAGGATCCAGGAGACAGTTTGGAACTATATCTCTACTCCATTGTTACCCCCCTTTTTTTTTTTCTTTTTGACACAGAGTCTCATGTAGTCCAGCTAGCCTTGAATATGTAGTTGAGGATGAGTTTAAACTTCTGTTCCTTTTTCTCCCACATCCTGAGTGCTGGGATTACAGGTGTGCACTGGTTTGTGAGGTGCTGGGGTCCAATCCAGGCCTTTATGAATGCTAGGAGTGCACATGATTGGGCTGTAGCCCCAGCCCACTCTCAACTGCCAGGTTGAAAGTGATTTTTGGGCAGGTGGTAGTAGCACTGGCCTTTAATCCCTGCACTCAGGAGGAGGCAGAGGCAGTCGGATCTCTGTGAAGTCAAGGCCAGTCTGGTCTACAGAGTGAGTTCCAGAACAGTCAGAGCTACACAAAGAAACCTTCTCATCTCTCTCTCCCTCTGTCTGTCTGTCTCTCTCTCTGTTTCCATACACAGAGGAAAGTGCATGGGTTTGAGGGATGGCTCAGTGGATGAAATACTTGCCATGCCAGCATGAGGACTTGAGTTTAGATCCACAGTACCCAGGTAAATGCCAGTAGGCTGAGGTAGAGCTTGCAATTCTAGCAATTAGGAGGTGGCCATAAGGGATCCATGGACAAGACTGGCTGAATCAGTGAGATTCTGGTCCAGGACAGAGACATTGCCTCAATTGAGTAAGGTGCCCAATGTCAACCACTGGTGTCTGCATGCAAATGCACTCACAACATGGGAACACACATACACAGATATGTCTTCCCTGCCCCTCAAAGGGGAGTAAGTACATCATAGCATGTAGTAAAAAAGAAAGCATAAACCTTGACATCTGTTATGAGAAGAGACATCTGTTTTGTTTCTCTGATGCTTGGGTTTGAATTTACATGTGATAGGCATGAGCGAACCACACATCCCCAGGCCTGGAAAATCAAATTATAGCATTGGATTGAAGTGAAGAGAAGTCTTAATGACTCCTCAGAGCTAGGTCCTAGAAAGAAACTGCTAGGAGAAATATTAATTTGTTCTAGTGGTTAGTGGTGATGGCATGAAAGATAAACTTGTGGGGGCTGGGACTGGAAAGTTGGCTCAGGAGTTAAAAGTACTTGTTTTGTTAAAGACCCAGTTTCAGTTCCCAGCACTCACAAGGCATCTCCCAACTGTCTGTAATTCCAGTTCCAGGGGATCCAACCCCTCTTCTGCCTCCGAAGCACTAGGCATGCATGGTGGTATACAGACATACATACAGACAAAACACTCATTTATACACATATTCTTTGTTTCTTTGTTTTTGTTGTTTTGTGTGGGTTTTTTGTTTTTTGTTTTTTTTGTTTTTGTTTTTTGTTTTTTTTTTTCCGAGACAGGGTCTCACTATGTGACTTCAGATCTTTGAACTCGATCTATAGACCAGGCTGGCCTTGATTTTACAGGGATCTGCTTGCCTCTTCCTCTTCAGTGCTGGGATTAAAGATGTGGGTCACTACCTATCATCTCTATATTCTACATATTCTAAAAATAAATTTAAAAAAATTAGGGGGTGAAGAGATGGCTCAGCGGTTAAGACCACTATCTGCTTTTCCAGAAGTCCTGGGTTCAATTCCCAGCACCCACATGGCAGCTCACAACTGTCTATAACTCCAGTTCCAGAGGACCCCTCACCATCATCACACAGACACACATGCAGGCAAAACATCAATGCACACAAAATAAATAAATCTTTTTTTTTTAAGTACAACAAAACCAGATTCCAATGAGTAATAAAAAATCCACAAATCGTTGGCAGGCAGGGGATATAATATCTCATTAGGTAGAGGGTTGGCCTAGATTTCCTGTAGCCCCATCTTCAATCCTCCACACTATCTCTTACCTGTAATCACATCGCTTGGGTTGACACAAGAGGATGAAAAGTTCAAGGTCATCTTTAGCTACTTAGTGAGTTTGGAGTCAGCCTGTGATCCAGGAGACCTTGTCCTTTAAAAAAGAGAGCTGTCAAAGAACCTGCTGCCAAGCCAGATGACCTGAGTTCAATCCCAGGGATCAGAGGGACCCAAAAGGTGGGAAGAGGAGGGCTGATTCCCCCAAGTTGTCCTTTGACCTCTATGCACAGGCAATGGCACAGGTGTATACACACAGAGAATAAATAAACATGATTAAATTGGGGAGCTGGGCAAGGTCTCACTATGTAGCCCAGGCTGTCCTAGAACAGGTCATATAGACCAGGCTGGTCTCAAGCTTAGAGATCTGCCTCCCACATGCTGGGATCGAAGTGAGGTTTTAGAAAGATAAAAAGTGTGCATGAGCAGGAAATGCTGACACTGTTACCACTGTTCTCTAGATTTTGGTTTCAAGTATCCCCTGATAATCTTTGTCTTCTATAATGAACAACCCTCAACCAGGACAGAAGGGAGGCAAAGGGATCTAGGCCATGATAAAAACCTGATTTCTTTGGCTGGAAAAGTTAACTGCTCCGTATCCTTGCACAATTTGTAGAACCTTGTGCCTCTCCCTCGAGGTCATTGTTACAGCTGTTGGTCTCACTTATGAGAAAGCAAACCCCTGGGCTGGTGAGAGCACTGTGTGGGTAAAGGCACTTGCTGCCAAGCCTGATGACCCGAGCTTGATCCCCTGGACCCCCGTGGTGGTGGGAGGGGAGAACTGACCCCTCCATGTTGTCCTCGGACCTCCACTAGAGCACTGTGACACATGGGCACTGCATACACACACACACACCACACACTACACACACACCATACACAACACACAACACACACACTAGACACACACACACACACCACAGAACATACCACACACATGCATCATACACATCACATATCACACACTGTATATACTACACATCACACACTACACACATACACATCATACACATCACACACACATCATACCATACCACACATCACATACCACACACAGAACACACCACACACAGAACACACCACACACAGAACACACCACAAGCATCACTCACACTACACACATACCATACACCACACACAATATACACCACACACACATCACACAT